TGCTAGAAACCACCTAGGCATAGGTTGCCAAGGTCGTTGGTTTTGAATATGTTTTTCTCTTATCCCAAAAACCCTCTTTACGTAGCACCTTTGGCTGTTGCGTTGCGCTATATAAGTAAAGAACGTCGTACCTTCGGTAGTCAAGATGCTGTTTAAACGAGTGGTGCGACAGTCAACATTGCTCAGGTGTTACTATTTCTTCGACTCCAACTTGGACACCTGATGTATGTAATGTATGTATGTATGTAAGGTAGCCACCATCCCTTTGAAGATCTTGTCTTGTATGCAGCTCCAATTAATAGCAAGATCAATTTGAGCTACCGATCTGAATTTACAATATCGCTGTATGAAGGGCCAAAAACGGTGGGGTGGACCCGTAAGCAGAGACACTTACGCGAAATCCACGGGAATTTAAGAATCTCCTTCCAACGATACGATCCAACAAATCGAATAACGCAATTCGCAATACTTATTAAGCTTCCTACAGGATGGTTTGTTAAGAAGGGCGCGTCAATCTCACTGAAACTGTTGGAGTAGAATTCACACCATCACAATCGAATCGGTAGGATAAAGAAAATGATAGTGTTTATTCCCTCCTAGACTCCGGTTGTCATACCACTCCAATCGTCCAGTTTCAGGTCAAATGATACCCTGATGCTCCCTCCCAACCCAGTATTTATTTATATATATAGTAAACATATGTAATGGAGAAATGAAATATATCAGAACATTAAAATACGTAATAATGAAAATACATTAATATGGATAAAAAAACTGGTATTCCGCAATGAAAATAATAATTATTTTACATACAATATGATGCAGCTCTATGTCTCCTCAGCTCCCAATAAGGAAGATGTAACCCTGAAATTTCCAACAAAAGACACAGAAAAGTAGATTTTGTTAGTAAGTTGGGTTCGTTGGATCAGGATTCACCTTGATAAGTGATGCGACCATGGTTTTAAATGAATCAGTGTTATCATGCATTATACTTGGATTTGCCCGAAGCCAAAACCAAATGGTGTATCATTGGGCCTTATTACGGGTGTCACTACACGGTGATAAGAAAGTGATACTCAGAATAAGAGCCGTGATTACCGTACAAATCAAATGGGAATCACTTCACCGTGACGACAAGTGACAACTTTTCACCATGATGTGACATCCGTAACAAGCCCCATTATAATATAAATCTGAAGACGTTCCATCATCGAAATGCTGAAAATGAACTTAGAGCATGAGCATGAGCAAAATTGATCGCCCGCGACTGCCAACACCAAAGAGCTGAAAACCAATTCAAACAAATCAAATCAACAGACAAAACCAGGGTGAAAGCTGTAAGAGTGAATCATTACAGTATAAATCTAGTGATGTTCCATCATCAAAGAGCTGGAAGAAAACTCAAATAATTTGAAGCAATAGATCCAGTCTGAATGAAGGCTGCAAAAAGAGAATAATTATACAGCAATGACCCCATTTTGTCAGCTAGCAAAGTATGTGTATCTTAAACATTCATCTTGAAGGAGGAAGGTATGAAATTACAATTATGTGGAATTATTGAAAAATAACAGTCTGATGCGCGGAGAGATTGACAGGATCGGGTCATAACTGTAATGTGAATATTAGGAAGATTTATCATCATCAAACTATTCTTGAATTGACCTGGAAGAATGCTTGTGAATAATTGTTATACAGATAAATTAAATTGATAAACTAAATGGTTCAAACAACAACTCCAGCCTGTAAAAAAGCTGAAAATAGGGAATCTTTACAATGTGGATCCCCGACGGTCTTCACCTCAGTAAGCAAAAGCGGCAGCCACCAGGCTAGTCGAGCTGCTCAATTTAAATATTGAAACCTTATTTTGTGAAGTTCTTAAGAATACCAATTGAAACACAATGTAAACAAATACAAGTTAAGAGTCTCATCCGAATCAAATGATTCCAAACTATACGCAATCATAGAAATTAAGTTTAAATAGACAAAAGTAGAAAAATGGAACAATCTCACCAAATCAGTCCAACTGAATCCCTTGCAAGCAGCTATGTCACGCTTGGTGTAGTAGCTCCGATCATAGACCCGCCCTACGGGGATCAATCCTCTGGTCGAATGTAGTCGATTGCTCCATGACGCGAACACGAAGCGACCGCTCACAAAATCATACAACGCGTAAACAAACTGAAATCAAAAACTATCGCACGCGACGCCACAAATTTCTGTACCGGGAGCACAAGCGAAGAAAAAAACAAACAACGCAGATAGCGACACTTCTTCTGATGCCTGCAAACATGATGCATCATGTTTTCTTTTTCGATTCCAAAACTTCTCGGAAAGCGAGAAAACCACCAATCACACACGTATAACCGTCCGGGAGGCAGAGTGCCAGCGCTAATCTGGCAAAATCAGCGAACGCACGCACAAAACAGAAATAAACTTATACACAACCGTATCCGAACAGGTTCGAAGCTGAACTGACTCCAACTTGGACACCTGATGCTCAAAAAATGCTTCCGATTCTGACTCCACATCCCTGGTTGTTGGTTATTTAAGTTGTATTTAATTAAAGGCGTCTGTACAATAGTGCATTTCTTAAAATTCCTACGTACAGTATTTGGAAAACAAATCAATAAATATTTCACCAAACATAATAGGTAACCATCATGGCTAACCCTCCTCAATTCAAATCAATTCCGTCCCGTTACATCATTTACCACCGGAATCACGTGAACGGTGCCAAGTTTGTCAAGACTGGGATAAAGTCTGTAGTATCAAAATATGTCCAAACAGAATCATAGTGTCTATATGGATAATGCTTATTTATTCCCACGTATACCAGATGATTTAGGCTCTCCAAATCGTACTGCAGTTCAGATGATTTGTTTTACTAGATCAACAAAGACTGGGATAATATCTATAGTATCGAAATATCGATATGGAAAGCCTAGAACATTTGGCATACACGAAAATAGGTTGTCATGAGCCACATAGACACTTTGAATCTGTTTGGACATGTTTCGATACTACAGATATTGAATTAGTCTTGGGTGATCTAGTAGAAAAATAATCTGATCTCCATCTATGGGGCGACCCCGGCGTAGTGGTTAGCATCCATACCTCTCACGCCAAAGTCACGAGTTCAAATCTCACCTCCGGACAAGTCACGAATGACCCAAGAGCGTTAAAGTGACTATAATAATAAAAAAAAAACTTCTAACATCTTGTATACGTAGCAAGTCCAGTCCAAGCAAATCAATGCATGCCTACGCATCTACATGTAATTAAACCAGCGAGTGTGGGACACTAGGATACCCTATGTGAAGGAAATGAACAACACGGCGTTGTATTCCTTCATCGTCTGGAGAGGGATGAAGGTGAACTTTCCATCGAAGCGAGGGACCACTATAGAAGATAAGTTGGAGGAGCATAGAAAAGTGTACAACTTACAGTTCAAGAAGTTTGCATCAGCTTATGAGGTCAGCCAGAAGGTTTTCAAACGGAATTTGCGTCAATCGTCAATCTGGGAGTTTTTTCAGCCAGCGTTATCCGTCCGGGAAAAAAGACTCCACGTCGTTCTTCTGGGTGATTCCTTAAAAAAAAAGAAAAGTTTTAGTTTCTGTCTTAAATTGCGCCTAAATCAGAAACAACTTACCGTACTAACACGTGTAGCATTATGGCACGTGTGAAGATGTAGTCCATAGGTCATCAATGTTGTCCAAAGGCTGTGATTCCTTCGTCAGAGAGGATGAATTTTACAGCATCTTATCATCATCGTCATCTCATCAGTCCGGTAGGGTCGTCGTTGATGAAGATGGAATGCTGAAAAAGAGAAAGAGAAAGATATATAATTATTGTTACCGGTAACAGAATTTCAGTCCGGATTGAAAAGGTGCACAAACAAAAGCCAACGACAAGGAAAAGACTAGTGCCTCTAAGTAGGAGAGATGGCACCGTCAGCGTTGACGGCAAATAACTCACGAACACTAGCGGACCGTGAGTACTGTGCCACCTATGCATCCTTCCATCTTGATCTTGGAATGAATACGAATCCATCTTCACATTATAGCCACTAGAAATTCCAGCTTCACCGTTAATTATTGTGTAGATTCCAATCGGTACTCACCAGCAAGCACACTTCACAAGTACCACCTAACTTTGTCACACATTTAAGAACCCAACAATCCTGCACCACTGTCCGTTACAATTTTTTCATGGCTAACCCTCCTCAATTCAAATCAATTCCGTCCCGTTACATCATTTACCACCGGAATCACGCGAACGGTGCCAAGTTTGTCACGACTGGGATAAAGTCTGTAGTATCAAAATATGTCCAAACAGAATCATAGTGTCTATATGGATAATGCTTATTTATTCCCACGTATACCAGATGATTTAGGCTCTCCAAATCGTACTGCAGTTCAGATGATTTGTTTTACTAGATCAACAAAGACTGGGATAATATCTATAGTATCGAAATATCGATATGGAAAGCCTAGAACATTTGGCATACACGAAAATAGGTTGTCATGAGCCACATAGACACTTTGAATCTGTTTGGACATGTTTCGATACTACAGATATTGAATTAATCTTGGGTGATCTAGTAGAAAAATAATCTGATCTCCATCTATGGGGCGACCCCGGCGTAGTGGTTAGCATCCATACCTCTCACGCCAAAGTCACGAGTTCAAATCTCACCTCCGGACAAGTCACGAATGACCCAAGAGCGTTGAAGTGACTATAATAATAATAAAAAAAAACTTATAACATCTTGTATACGTAGCAAGTCCAGTCCAAGCAAATCAACGCATGCCTACGCATCTACATGTAATTAAACCAGCGAGTGTGGGACACTAGGATACCCTAGGTCAAGGAAATGAACAACACGGCGTTGTATTCCTTCATCGTCTGGAGAGGGATGAAGGTGAACTTTCCATCGAAGCGAGGGACCACTATAGAAGATAAGTTGGAGGAGCATAGAAAAGTGTACAACTTACAGTTCAAGAAGTTTGCATCAGCTTATGAGGTCGGCCAGAAGGTTTTCAAACGGAATTTGCGTCAATCGTCAATCTGGGAGTTTTTTCAGCCAGCGTTATCCGTCCGGGAAAAAAGACTCCACGTCGTTCTTCTGGGTGATTCCTTAAAAAAAAGAAAAGTTTTAGTTTCTGTCTTAAATTGCGCCTAAATCAGAAACAACTTACCGTACTAACACGTGTAGCATTATGGCACGTGTGAAGATGTAGTCCATAGGTCATCAATGTTGTCCAAAGGCTGTGATTCCTTCGTCAGAGAGGATAAATTTTACAGCATCTTATCATCATCGTCATCTCATCAGTCCGGTAGGGTCGTCGTTGATGAAGATGGAATGCTGAAAAAGAGAAAGAGAAAGATATATAATTATTGTTACCGGTAACAGAATTTCAGTCCGGATTGAAAAGGTGCACAAACAAAAGCCAACGACAAGGAAAAGACTAGTGCCTCTAAGTAGGAGAGATGGCACCGTCAGCGTTGACGGCAAATAACTCACGAACACTAGCGGACCGTGAGTACTGTGCCACCTATGCATCCTTCCATCTTGATCTTGGAATGAATACGAATCCATCTTCACATTATAGCCACTAGGAATTCCAGCTTCACCGTTAATTATTGTGTAGATTCCAATCGGTACTGACCAGCAAGCACACTTCACAAGTACCACCTAACTTTGTCACACATTTAAGACCCCAACAATCCTGCACCACTGTCCGTTACAATTTTTTCAGTTGATGATGCATCGTTTAAAAAATTGACGTTTCAATGAAGAAAAAAACATGCACGCCTACGTTGATCAAAATTTCGATTTTCACGACTTTCACCCACTGCGCATCCCCTTCCATAGTCGCTACCATAGCAACACCATTAACACCGAATAGGGACTTTTTGGTGAATAAAAAATTCGTTTAGGGACCGTGCTTTCGAGCAAACCAATCGATGTGGCAGAATGCTATCATCGAAGATCTTTTTGTTTATGGAGTTCGAAGGACCACTACCGTGAGCTCGATCGTTGCATTTCAGAGTAGTAGTGATAGGCTTTAGATATAGTACCAATTTTTGTAGAAAAAAAAAAATCAGCTAGATTGATAGGAGCTAGGGCAGGAGCACATATGTGATTGGCAGGGAATGTGGTTGGAGTTTAAAGGTACTGAAAAATCACCCCTAATGATGATTTTGATTGAAACTGAAAATCGGTTTCGATCGAAATTAGTAATAGAGGTGACTTTTCAGTACATTTAACGAGGGCTTATCACATATGTGCTCCTTTTAGCTTGTTAGTTAGCTACCTCAAAATTTACCATTCACTTATAGTAGCTAGCTAGTTAAAAGAGTGGTATCATATTTCCCGGATTTTAATTTCAGATTGGGCCATTGATCAGTTTGACGTTTAAGATAAATCCAAGAAATTAGAACGTAACAACAATAAATTTCAGATGACGACCTTTCGTTTGAGTTTATTGCCAAAACGTCAACCCAATCACGTAAGTTTAACGATAAACCTGGTGCACAATGACAATGCATTAATCTGCGAGTAAATAACCTAGCTCTTACGTGAAGAAATGGAAGGTCGAAGGTCACACCTTTGAAACAAATAACTACACCAAGATTGGAGCTTTTCGTAGCTTTAGAGAGTGTCTAGGATAAGAGAGAAGCGGACTGGTTGATTTTACTCAACTGTCAAAGCCAGAACCAATCGAGCAACGCATATCTTGATTGAAATGGCAGTGTTGCTAGAAACCACCTAGGCATAGGTTGCCAAGGTCGTTGGTTTTGAATATGTTTTTCTCTTATCCCAAAAACCCTCTCTACGTAGCACCTTTGGCTGTTGCGTTGCGCTATATAAGTAAAGAACGTCGTACCTTCGGTAGTCAAGATGCTGTTTAAACGAGTGGTGCGACAGTCAACATTGCTCAGGTGTTACTATTTCTTCGACTCCAACTTGGACACCTGATGCTCAAAAAATGCTTCCGATTCTGACTCCACATCCCTGGTTGTTGGTTATTTAAGTTGTATTTAATTAAAGGCGTCTGTACAATAGTGCATTTCTTAAAATTCCTACGTACAGTATTTGGAAAACAAATCAATAAATATTTCACCAAACATAATAGGTAACCATCATGGCTAACCCTCCTCAATTCAAATCAATTCCGTCCCGTTACATCATTTACCACCGGAATCACGTGAACGGTGCCAAGTTTGTCACGACTGGGATAAAGTCTGTAGTATCAAAATATGTCCAAACAGAATCATAGTGTCTATATGGATAATGCTTATTTATTCCCACGTATACCAGATGATTTAGGCTCTCCAAATCGTACTGCAGTTCAGATGATTTGTTTTACTAGATCAACAAAGACTGGGATAATATCTATAGTATCGAAATATCGGTATGGAAAGCCTAGAACATTTGGCATACACGAAAATAGGTTGTCATGAGCCACATAGACACTTTGAATCTGTTTGGACATGTTTCGATACTACAGATATTGAATTAGTCTTGGGTGATCTAGTAGAAAAATAATCTGATCTCCATCTATGGGGCGACCCCGGCGTAGTGGTTAGCATCCATACCTCTCACGCCAAAGTCACGAGTTCAAATCTCACCTCCGGACAAGTCACGAATGACCCAAGAGCGTTGAAGTGACTATAATAATAATAAAAAAAACTTATAACATCTTGTATACGTAGCAAGTCCAGTCCAAGCAAATCAACGCATGCCTACGCATCTACATGTAATTAAACCAGCGAGTGTGGGACACTAGGATACCCTAGGTCAAGGAAATGAACAACACGGCGTTGTATTCCTTCATCGTCTGGAGAGGGATGAAGGTGAACTTTCCATCGAAGCGAGGGACCACTATAGAAGATAAGTTGGAGGAGCATAGAAAAGTGTACAACTTACAGTTCAAGAAGTTTGCATCAGCTTATGAGGTCGGCCAGAAGGTTTTCAAACGGAATTTGCGTCAATCGTCAATCTGGGAGTTTTTTCAGCCAGCGTTATCCGTCCGGGAAAAAAGACTCCACGTCGTTCTTCTGGGTGATTCCTTAAAAAAAAGAAAAGTTTTAGTTTCTGTCTTAAATTGCGCCTAAATCAGAAACAACTTACCGTACTAACACGTGTAGCATTATGGCACGTGTGAAGATGTAGTCCATAGGTCATCAATGTTGTCCAAAGGCTGTGATTCCTTCGTCAGAGAGGATAAATTTTACAGCATCTTATCATCATCGTCATCTCATCAGTCCGGTAGGGTCGTCGTTGATGAAGATGGAATGCTGAAAAAGAGAAAGAGAAAGATATATAATTATTGTTACCGGTAACAGAATTTCAGTCCGGATTGAAAAGGTGCACAAACAAAAGCCAACGACAAGGAAAAGACTAGTGCCTCTAAGTAGGAGAGATGGCACCGTCAGCGTTGACGGCAAATAACTCACGAACACTAGCGGACCGTGAGTACTGTGCCACCTATGCATCCTTCCATCTTGATCTTGGAATGAATACGAATCCATCTTCACATTATAGCCACTAGGAATTCCAGCTTCACCGTTAATTATTGTGTAGATTCCAATCGGTACTGACCAGCAAGCACACTTCACAAGTACCACCTAACTTTGTCACACATTTAAGACCCCAACAATCCTGCACCACTGTCCGTTACAATTTTTTCAGTTGATGATGCATCGTTTAAAAAATTGACGTTTCAATGAAGAAAAAAACATGCACGCCTACGTTGATCAAAATTTCGATTTTCACGACTTTCACCCACTGCGCATCCCCTTCCATAGTCGCTACCATAGCAACACCATTAACACCGAATAGGGACTTTTTGGTGAATAAAAAATTCGTTTAGGGACCGTGCTTTCGAGCAAACCAATCGATGTGGCAGAATGCTATCATCGAAGATCTTTTTGTTTATGGAGTTCGAAGGACCACTACCGTGAGCTCGATCGTTGCATTTCAGAGTAGTAGTGATAGGCTTTAGATATAGTACCAATTTTTGTAGAAAAAAAAAAATCAGCTAGATTGATAGGAGCTAGGGCAGGAGCACATATGTGATTGGCAGGGAATGTGGTTGGAGTTTAAAGGTACTGAAAAATCACCCCTAATGATGATTTTGATTGAAACTGAAAATCGGTTTCGATCGAAATTAGTAATAGAGGTGACTTTTCAGTACATTTAACGAGGGCTTATCACATATGTGCTCCTTTTAGCTTGTTAGTTAGCTACCTCAAAATTTACCATTCACTTATAGTAGCTAGCTAGTTAAAAGAGTGGTATCATATTTCCCGGATTTTAATTTCAGATTGGGCCATTGATCAGTTTGACGTTTAAGATAAATCCAAGAAATTAGAACGTAACAACAATAAATTTCAGATGACGACCTTTCGTTTGAGTTTATTGCCAAAACGTCAACCCAATCACGTAAGTTTAACGATAAACCTGGTGCACAATGACAATGCATTAATCTGCGAGTAAATAACCTAGCTCTTACGTGAAGAAATGGAAGGTCGAAGGTCACACCTTTGAAACAAATAACTACACCAAGATTGGAGCTTTTCGTAGCTTTAGAGAGTGTCTAGGATAAGAGAGAAGCGGACTGGTTGATTTTACTCAACTGTCAAAGCCAGAACCAATCGAGCAACGCATATCTTGATTGAAATGGCAGTGTTGCTAGAAACCACCTAGGCATAGGTTGCCAAGGTCGTTGGTTTTGAATATGTTTTTCTCTTATCCCAAAAACCCTCTCTACGTAGCACCTTTGGCTGTTGCGTTGCGCTATATAAGTAAAGAACGTCGTACCTTCGGTAGTCAAGATGCTGTTTAAACGAGTGGTGCGACAGTCAACATTGCTCAGGTGTTACTATTTCTTCGACTCCAACTTGGACACCTGATGCTCAAAAAATGCTTCCGATTCTGACTCCACATCCCTGGTTGTTGGTTATTTAAGTTGTATTTAATTAAAGGCGTCTGTACAATAGTGCATTTCTTAAAATTCCTACGTACAGTATTTGGAAAACAAATCAATAAATATTTCACCAAACATAATAGGTAACCATCATGGCTAACCCTCCTCAATTCAAATCAATTCCGTCCCGTTACATCATTTACCACCGGAATCACGTGAACGGTGCCAAGTTTGTCACGACTGGGATAAAGTCTGTAGTATCAAAATATGTCCAAACAGAATCATAGTGTCTATATGGATAATGCTTATTTATTCCCACGTATACCAGATGATTTAGGCTCTCCAAATCGTACTGCAGTTCAGATGATTTGTTTTACTAGATCAACAAAGACTGGGATAATATCTATAGTATCGAAATATCGGTATGGAAAGCCTAGAACATTTGGCATACACGAAAATAGGTTGTCATGAGCCACATAGACACTTTGAATCTGTTTGGACATGTTTCGATACTACAGATATTGAATTAGTCTTGGGTGATCTAGTAGAAAAATAATCTGATCTCCATCTATGGGGCGACCCCGGCGTAGTGGTTAGCATCCATACCTCTCACGCCAAAGTCACGAGTTCAAATCTCACCTCCGGACAAGTCACGAATGACCCAAGAGCGTTGAAGTGACTATAATAATAATAAAAAAAACTTATAACATCTTGTATACGTAGCAAGTCCAGTCCAAGCAAATCAACGCATGCCTACGCATCTACATGTAATTAAACCAGCGAGTGTGGGACACTAGGATACCCTAGGTCAAGGAAATGAACAACACGGCGTTGTATTCCTTCATCGTCTGGAGAGGGATGAAGGTGAACTTTCCATCGAAGCGAGGGACCACTATAGAAGATAAGTTGGAGGAGCATAGAAAAGTGTACAACTTACAGTTCAAGAAGTTTGCATCAGCTTATGAGGTCGGCCAGAAGGTTTTCAAACGGAATTTGCGTCAATCGTCAATCTGGGAGTTTTTTCAGCCAGCGTTATCCGTCCGGGAAAAAAGACTCCACGTCGTTCTTCTGGGTGATTCCTTAAAAAAAAGAAAAGTTTTAGTTTCTGTCTTAAATTGCGCCTAAATCAGAAACAACTTACCGTACTAACACGTGTAGCATTATGGCACGTGTGAAGATGTAGTCCATAGGTCATCAATGTTGTCCAAAGGCTGTGATTCCTTCGTCAGAGAGGATAAATTTTACAGCATCTTATCATCATCGTCATCTCATCAGTCCGGTAGGGTCGTCGTTGATGAAGATGGAATGCTGAAAAAGAGAAAGAGAAAGATATATAATTATTGTTACCGGTAACAGAATTTCAGTCCGGATTGAAAAGGTGCACAAACAAAAGCCAACGACAAGGAAAAGACTAGTGCCTCTAAGTAGGAGAGATGGCACCGTCAGCGTTGACGGCAAATAACTCACGAACACTAGCGGACCGTGAGTACTGTGCCACCTATGCATCCTTCCATCTTGATCTTGGAATGAATACGAATCCATCTTCACATTATAGCCACTAGGAATTCCAGCTTCACCGTTAATTATTGTGTAGATTCCAATCGGTACTGACCAGCAAGCACACTTCACAAGTACCACCTAACTTTGTCACACATTTAAGACCCCAACAATCCTGCACCACTGTCCGTTACAATTTTTTCAGTTGATGATGCATCGTTTAAAAAATTGACGTTTCAATGAAGAAAAAAACATGCACGCCTACGTTGATCAAAATTTCGATTTTCACGACTTTCACCCACTGCGCATCCCCTTCCATAGTCGCTACCATAGCAACACCATTAACACCGAATAGGGACTTTTTGGTGAATAAAAAATTCGTTTAGGGACCGTGCTTTCGAGCAAACCAATCGATGTGGCAGAATGCTATCATCGAAGATCTTTTTGTTTATGGAGTTCGAAGGACCACTACCGTGAGCTCGATCGTTGCATTTCAGAGTAGTAGTGATAGGCTTTAGATATAGTACCAATTTTTGTAGAAAAAAAAAAATCAGCTAGATTGATAGGAGCTAGGGCAGGAGCACATATGTGATTGGCAGGGAATGTGGTTGGAGTTTAAAGGTACTGAAAAATCACCCCTAATGATGATTTTGATTGAAACTGAAAATCGGTTTCGATCGAAATTAGTAATAGAGGTGACTTTTCAGTACATTTAACGAGGGCTTATCACATATGTGCTCCTTTTAGCTTGTTAGTTAGCTACCTCAAAATTTACCATTCACTTATAGTAGCTAGCTAGTTAAAAGAGTGGTATCATATTTCCCGGATTTTAATTTCAGATTGGGCCATTGATCAGTTTGACGTTTAAGATAAATCCAAGAAATTAGAACGTAACAACAATAAATTTCAGATGACGACCTTTCGTTTGAGTTTATTGCCAAAACGTCAACCCAATCACGTAAGTTTAACGATAAACCTGGTGCACAATGACAATGCATTAATCTGCGAGTAAATAACCTAGCTCTTACGTGAAGAAATGGAAGGTCGAAGGTCACACCTTTGAAACAAATAACTACACCAAGATTGGAGCTTTTCGTAGCTTTAGAGAGTGTCTAGGATAAGAGAGAAGCGGACTGGTTGATTTTACTCAACTGTCAAAGCCAGAACCAATCGAGCAACGCATATCTTGATTGAAATGGCAGTGTTGCTAGAAACCACCTAGGCATAGGTTGCCAAGGTCGTTGGTTTTGAATATGTTTTTCTCTTATCCCAAAAACCCTCTCTACGTAGCACCTTTGGCTGTTGCGTTGCGCTATATAAGTAAAGAACGTCGTACCTTCGGTAGTCAAGATGCTGTTTAAACGAGTGGTGCGACAGTCAACATTGCTCAGGTGTTACTATTTCTTCGACTCCAACTTGGACACCTGATGCTCAAAAAATGCTTTCGATTCTGACTCCACATCCCTGGTTGTTGGTTATTTAAGTTGTATTTAATTAAAGGCGTCTGTACAATAGTGCATTTCTTAAAATTCCTACGTACAGTATTTGGAAAACAAATCAATAAATATTTCACCAAACATAATAGGTAACCATCATGGCTAACCCTCCTCAATTCAAATCAATTCCGTCCCGTTACATCATTTACCACCGGAATCACGTGAACGGTGCCAAGTTTGTCACGACTGGGATAAAGTCTGTAGTATCAAAATATGTCCAAACAGAATCATAGTGTCTATATGGATAATGCTTATTTATTCCCACGTATACCAGATGATTTAGGCTCTCCAAATCGTACTGCAGTTCAGATGATTTGTTTTACTAGATCAACAAAGACTGGGATAATATCTATAGTATCGAAATATCGGTATGGAAAGCCTAGAACATTTGGCATACACGAAAATAGGTTGTCATGAGCCACATAGACACTTTGAATCTGTTTGGACATGTTTCGATACTACAGATATTGAATTAGTCTTGGGTGATCTAGTAGAAAAATAATCTGATCTCCATCTATGGGGCGACCCCGGCGTAGTGGTTAGCATCCATACCTCTCACGCCAAAGTCACGAGTTCAAATCTCACCTCCGGACAAGTCACGAATGACCCAAGAGCGTTGAAGTGACTATAATAATAATAAAAAAAACTTATAACATCTTGTATACGTAGCAAGTCCAGTCCAAGCAAATCAACGCATGCCTACGCATCTACATGTAATTAAACCAGCGAGTGTGGGACACTAGGATACCCTAGGTCAAGGAAATGAACAACACGGCGTTGTATTCCTTCATCGTCTGGAGAGGGATGAAGGTGAACTTTCCATCGAAGCGAGGGACCACTATAGAAGATAAGTTGGAGGAGCATAGAAAAGTGTACAACTTACAGTTCAAGAAGTTTGCATCAGCTTATGAGGTCGGCCAGAAGGTTTTCAAACGGAATTTGCGTCAATCGTCAATCTGGGAGTTTTTTCAGCCAGCGTTATCCGTCCGGGAAAAAAGACTCCACGTCGTTCTTCTGGGTGATTCCTTAAAAAAAAGAAAAGTTTTAGTTTCTGTCTTAAATTGCGCCTAAATCAGAAACAACTTACCGTACTAACACGTGTAGCATTATGGCACGTGTGAAGATGTAGTCCATAGGTCATCAATGTTGTCCAAAGGCTGTGATTCCTTCGTCAGAGAGGATAAATTTTACAGCATCTTATCATCATCGTCATCTCATCAGTCCGGTAGGGTCGTCGTTGATGAAGATGGAATGCTGAAAAAGAGAAAGAGAAAGATATATAATTATTGTTACCGGTAACAGAATTTCAGTCCGGATTGAAAAGGTGCACAAACAAAAGCCAACGACAAGGAAAAGACTAGTGCCTCTAAGTAGGAGAGATGGCACCGTCAGCGTTGACGGCAAATAACTCACGAACACTAGCGGACCGTGAGTACTGTGCCACCTATGCATCCTTCCATCTTGATCTTGGAATGAATACGAATCCATCTTCACATTATAGCCACTAGGAATTCCAGCTTCACCGTTAATTATTGTGTAGATTCCAATCGGTACTCACCAGCAAGCACACTTCACAAGTACCACCTAACTTTGTCACACATTTAAGACCCCAACAATCCTGCACCACTGTCCGTTACAATTTTTTCAGTTGATGATGCATCGTTTAAAAAATTGACGTTTCAATGAAGAAAAAAACATGCACGCCTACGTTGATCAAAATTTCGATTTTCACGACTTTCACCCACTGCGCATCCCCTTCCATAGTCGCTACCATAGCAACACCATTAACACCGAATAGGGACTTTTTGGTGAATAAAAAATTCGTTTAGGGACCGTGCTTTCGAGCAAACCAATCGATGTGGCAGAATGCTATCATCGAAGATCTTTTTGTTTATGGAGTTCGAAGGACCACTACCGTGAGCTCGATCGTTGCATTTCAGAGTAGTAGTGATAGGCTTTAGATATAGTACCAATTTTTGTAGAAAAAAAATCAGCTAGATTGATAGGAGCTAGGGCAGGAGCACATATGTGATTGGCAGGGAATGTGGTTGGAGTTTAAAGGTACTGAAAAATCACCCCTAATGATGATTTTGATTGAAACTGAAAATCGGTTTCGATCGAAATTAGTAATAGAGGTGACTTTTCAGTATATTTAACGAGGGCTTATCACATATGTGCTCCTTTTAGCTTGTTAGTTGGCTACCTCAAAATTTACCATTCACTTATAGTAGCTAGCTAGTTAAAAGAGTGGTATCATATTTCCCGGATTTTAATTTCAGATTGGGCCATTGATCAGTTTGACGTTTAAGATAAATCCAAGAAATTAGAACGTAACAACAATAAATTTCAGATGACGACCTTTCGTTTGAGCTTATTGCCAAAACGTCAACCCAATCACGTAAGTTTAACGATAAACCTGGTGCACAATGACAATGCATTAATCTGCGAGTAAATAACCTAGCTCTTACGTGAAGAAATGGAAGGTCGAAGGTCACACCTTTGAAACAAATAACTACACCAAGATTGGAGCTTTTCGTAGCTTTAGAGAGTGTCTAGGATAAGAGAGAAACGGACTGGTTGATTTTACTCAACTGTCAAAGCCAGAACCAATCGAGCAACACATGTCTTGATTGAAATGGCAGTGTTGCTAGAAACCACCTAGGCATAGGTTGCCAAGGTCGTTGGTTTTGAATATGTTTTTCTCTTATCCCAAAAACCCTCCTTACGTAGCACCTTTGGCTGTTGCGTTGCGCTATATAAGTAAAGAACGTCGTACCTTCGGTAGTCAAGATGCTGTTTAAACGAGTGGTGCGACAGTCAACATTGCTCAGGTGTTACTATTTCTTCGACTCCAACTTGGACACCTGATGCTCAAAAAATGCTTCCGATTCTGACTCCACATCCCTGGTTGTTGGTTATTTAAGTTGTATTTAATTAAAGGCGTCTGTACAATAGTGCATTTCTTAAAATTCCTACGTACAGTATTTGGAAAACAAATCAATAAATATTTCACCAAACATAATAGGTAACCATCATGGCTAACCCTCCTCAATTCAAATCAATTCCGTCCCGTTACATCATTTACCACCGGAATCACGCGAACGGTGCCAAGTTTGTCACGACTGGGATAAAGTCTGTAGTATCAAAATATGTCCAAACAGAATCATAGTGTCTATATGGATAATGCTTATTTATTCCCACGTATACCAGATGATTTAGGCTCTCCAAATTGTACTGCAGTTCAGATGATTTGTTTTACTAGATCAACAAAGACTGGGATAATACCTATAGTATCGAAATATCGATATGGAAAGCCTAGAACATTTGGCATACACGAAAATAGGTTGTCATGAGCCACATAGACACTTTGAATCTGTTTGGACATGTTTCGATACTACAGATATTGAATTAGTCTTGGGTGATCTAGTAGAAAAATAATCTGATCTCCATCTATGGGGCGACCCCGGCGTAGTGGTTAGCATCCATACCTCTCACGCCAAAGTCACGAGTTCAAATCTCACCTCCGGACAAGTCACGAATGACCCAAGAGCGTTAAAGTGACTATAATAATAAAAAAAAAACTTCTAACATCTTGTATACGTAGCAAGTCCAGTCCAAGCAAATCAATGCATGCCTACGCATCTACATGTAATTAAACCAGCGAGAATGGGACACTAGGATACCCTAGGTGAAGGAAATGAACAACACGGCGTTGTATTCCTTCATCGTCTGGAGAGGGATGAAGGTGAACTTTCCATCGAAGCGAGTCGTCAATCGTCAATCTGGGAGTTTTTTCAGCCAGCGTTATCCGTCCGGGAAAAAAGACTCCACGTCGTTCTTCTGGGTGATTCCTTAAAAAAAAAGAAAAGTTTTAGTTTCTGTCTTAAATTGCGCCTAAATCAGAAACAACTTACCGTACTAACACGTGTAGCATTATGGCACGTGTGAAGATGTAGTCCATAGGTCATCAATGTTGTCCAAAGGCTGTGATTCCTTCGTCAGAGAGGATGAATTTTACAGCATCTTATCATCATCGTCATCTCATCAGTCCGGTAGGGTCGTCGTTGATGAAGATGGAATGCTGAAAAAGAGAAAGAGAAAGATATATAATTATTGTTACCGGTAACAGAATTTCAGTCTGGATTGAAAAGGTGCACAAACAAAAGCCAACGACAAGGAAAAGACTAGTGCCTCTAAGTAGGAGAGATGGCACCGTCAGCGTTGACGGCAAATAACTCACGAACACTAGCGGACCGTGAGTACTGTGCCACCTATGCATCCTTCCATCTTGATCTTGGAATGAATACGAATCCATCTTCACATTATAGCCACTAGGAATTCCAGCTTCACCGTTAATTATTGTGTAGATTCCAATCGGTACTCACCAGCAAGCACACTTCACAAGTACCACCTAACTTTGTCACACATTTAAGACCCCAACAATCCTGCACCACTGTCCGTTACAATTTTTTCAGTTGATGATGCATCGTTTAAAAATTGACGTTTCAATGAAGAAAAAAACATGCACGCCTACGTTGATCAAAATTTCGATTTTCACGACTTTCACCCACTGCGCATCCCCTTCCATAGTCGCTACCATAGCAACACCATTAACACCGAATAGGGACTTTTTGGTGAATAAAAAATTCGTTTAGGGACCGTGCTTTCGAGCAAACCAACCGATGTGGCAGAATGCTATCATCGAAGATCTTTTTGTTTATGGAGTTCGAAGGACCACTACCGTGAGCTCGATCGTTGCATTTCAGAGTAGTAGTGATAGGCTTTAGATATAGTACCAATTTTTGTAGAAAAAAAAAAATCAGCTAGATTGATAGGAGCTAGGGCAGGAGCACATATGTGATTGGCAGGGAATGTGGTTGGAGTTTAAAGGTACTGAAAAATCACCCCTAATGATGATTTTGATTGAAACTGAAAATCGGTTTCGATCGAAATTAGTAATAGAGGTGACTTTTCAGTACATTTAACGAGGGCTTATCACATATGTGCTCCTTTTAGCTTGTTAGTTAGCTACCTCAAAATTTACCATTCACTTATAGTAGCTAGCTAGTTAAAAGAGTGGTATCATATTTCCCGGATTTTAATTTCAGATTGGGCCATTGATCAGTTTGACGTTTAAGATAAATCCAAGAAATTAGAACGTAACAACAATAAATTTCAGATGACGACCTTTCGTTTGAGCTTATTGCCAAAACGTCAACCCAATCACGTAAGTTTAACGATAAACCTGGTGCACAATGACAATGCATTAATCTGCGAGTAAATAACCTAGCTCTTACGTGAAGAAATGGAAGGTCGAAGGTCACACCTTTGAAACAAATAACTACACCAAGATTGGAGCTTTTCGTAGCTTTAGAGAGTGTCTAGGATAAGAGAGAAGCAGACTGCTTGATTTTACTCAACTGTCAAAGCCAGAACCAATCGAGCAACGCATGTCTTGATTGAAATGGCAGTGTTGCTAGAAACCACCTAGGCATAGGTTGCCAAGGTCGTTGGTTTTGAATATGTTTTTCTCTTATCCCAAAAACCCTCTTTACGTAGCACCTTTGGCTGTTGCGTTGCGCTATATAAGTAAAGAACGTCGTACCTTCGGTAGTCAAGATGCTGTTTAAACGAGTGGTGCGACAGTCAACATTGCTCAGGTGTTACTATTTCTTCGACTCCAACTTGGACACCTGATGCTCAAAAAATGCTTCCGATTCTGACTCCACATCCCTGGTTGTTGGTTATTTAAGTTGTATTTTATTAAAGGCGTCTGTACAATAGTGCATTTCTTAAAATTCCTACGTACAGTATTTGGAAAACAAATCAATAAATATTTCACCAAGCATAATAGGTAACCATCATGGCTAACCCTCCTCAATTCAAATCAATTCCGTCCCGTTACATCATTTACCACCGGAATCACGCGAACGGTGCCAAGTTTGTCACGACTGGGATAAAGTCTGTAGTATCAAAATATGTCCAAACAGAATCATAGTGTCTATATGGATAATGCTTACTTATTCCCACGTATACCAGATGATTTAGGCTCTCCAAATCGTACTGCAGTTCAGATGATTTGTTTTACTAGATCAACAAAGACTGGGATAATATCTATAGTATCGAAATATCGATATGGAAAGCCTAGAACATTTGGCATACACGAAAATAGGTTGTCATGAGCCACATAGACACTTTGAATCTGTTTGGACATGTTTCGATACTACAGATATTGAATTAGTCTTGGG